TTCAGATTTGAATTAGTCTTAGTGTTTCTTAAACTTAAAAAAAATACTTTGATAAACATTAAAAAAAAAAAAAGTGACTTACCCTGTCCGAATCTTCTGCATGTTCTCATCAGGCAAGGACATTTTGCCTCAATCCATTCTGTAACCTTTACAGGGAAAAGGCATTTTGTGGTCCAAATATGAAAATTATATAACACTGTAGGCTGTATGTAGTCTAGCCCTCAGCTGAAGGTTCTACATCTGTGTCTCCCACAATGATCCTCCCTGTAGCCATCATGCCCTTTCTACAGGTGAAGAAACAGATTCAGCGAGGTGTATTCCTGGGTTCCCAGGTCCCCGCTGCCTGGTGACAGGATGTCCAGGCTGCCTGGTGGAGTTAGCTGGGCCTGCCTCTGGGCTCTGGCTTCTCTGCACATGAGTTGGTATGGTGGGGGAGGGGATGTCATTGGTGAGAAGTGTCTGTGGGCAGGCTGGCAAAGAGGAGTGTGGAGAGAATGGGAAAGACCTGTGTTGAGGGGGCTGTTTCCTTGACTATTTGGAGCTCTGTGCCAGGCACTGTTGAGGGTCTGGCTGTGGATACAGCTGATGTCCTCTTGAGGAGTTCGCATCTGGAGAGGGGATGGGCAACTTGAAGTTGGAAAGACCTGAGTTCTAGTCTCAAAGCTCTGCAGCTTCTGGGCTCAGGGATCTTTTAGGGCTTTCGTTTTGTTATCTGTACAATGTAGTTAATAGTGACCCTGACCTCAGAGTTGTTGTGATAAGTGCAGGATTGCACTGGGGATTGGGCACAGAGGACAGAGGAGGGGTCTCTTGCTGTCTTGGAGGGCCAGGTGGTGTCCTGGGGGAAGTGATGTCCACAATGAGACCTTAGGGGAAGAGTGGATAACAGGCTCCTATGCCAGGTGCTGCTCTAGTTGGGCTGTAGTCTGGGCTTCTGGCTAGATTTCCATTAGGGCAAGGCCATAGCTTAGGGAGGTCTGTGGTTCCCTCCTGGGACATGGGATCAGATTTGCTATATTCAAATCAGGGATGTCTGTGTGCATTTGGGTGGGGGCATTTAGTCATGGAAGCATCAGGAGACCAATTCCTGTAGGACCTGGTAGCAGAAAAGTGATGTGACCTCACTCGGTCAGCTCTTGGGGAAGAAACTACAGGATCAAGGGAAGAAGGTGGGAGCCCTTCTTGATGTTGTGTGACCTCAGCCTTTGGCTCCTTCCCTTTCCTGTCCTGTGAAAACAGCCAAGGACTACCAGGAGAATTAGGTGAGAGATCGAGAGCTCCTGGTCAGGGGACCCTATGCTCACCAGGGTGTGTCTTCATTTCCATGATGAATTTTTTTATATATATTTATTTTTTAGTTGTAGGTGGAAACACAATGTTTTTATTTCATTTTTACATGGTGCTGAGGATTGAACGCAGTGCCTCACACATGCTAGGCGAGCACTCTACTACTGAGCCACAACCCCAGCCCTCCATGATGGATTTTAAAGGCAAACATGAGGCAGAGCATACACTGCTTTTATGCTCCCCTGAATATCAAAGCCGCCTGCTCTCTGCCCCCAGCACTGGGGCCTTCGTGTCATCTCCCATCCTCTTCATGTGCCCTCACATCACTGCGACTGGGTTGCTGCTGAGGGCAGATGGAGCCCAAGGCCTTTCCACAGCAGGAAACAGATGGGGGAGTGCTGCATGGTTCCTGCTGGTTCTGACAGGCTGCCAAGGCCAATGTCCTGATGCCAGGCCAGGTTCCTGATGAGGAGGGACGGGGTCCCATGCAGGTGCTGGAGAGGGGCACACTGGCCAGCCCAGGGGTGCGGAGAGGGCTTCCTGAAGTTGGGAGGTCCATGCCAGGAAAGGTTGCTGGTGGGGGGGGGTGGGATGAGGGAAACTGTAATCCAGGCATCCAACACACTTCCATATCTTTGAAATCTCAGCAAAAGAGAGGCAGGGACCGGATCCATGATGGGGAGCTACAGCAGGGCAGGACAGAGTCACAGGGAGTAGTCACAGGGGCAGAAGAGGAGACCACTGAGAAGGCTGCTGCAGGTCATAGGAGCTGGGGACCTGGACAAAGGGGTTAGGGAGGATGGAGAGAAAGTTTCAGAAGCCATAGGGCCACACTTGACTTGGGGATTGACTGAACTTGGATAAACCTGAGGGAGGAGAGTTAGTGGATGCCCAGGTGTCTGACCTGGCCCCTGGTGGGTGGTGCCACCTTTACAGAGATGCCACCCCCAGGAGAGAGGGCAGGAGAGGATGGCCTGGGCTTTCTTCTAGTATGAGCACCCTGGGTAATACCCTTGGGAGTTGCCCAGTAGGTCTGGAGTCCTAGGGGAAGGTCTAGCCCTGGGTGTAGAGGTGGGCATCCCTACAGATGGACAGAGGAACCTCCTGAGTGCTGAGATTGGAGGATGGAACTCAACAGAGATGTGTGGGTGTGCAGAGTACCACAGGAGCCTGGGGATGGGTGCACAGGACTGGGACCCCAAGGAGGCCCAGATGCAGACTGCTAAGGGAGGGAAGTGAAGGAGATAAGAAACAGAAGCAGCTTGTAAACCTGACAAGGAAGGGTGGGGAGGAAGGCTTCCTGGGAGACACTATGGATGAGGAAGTTTGGGGCTGTGGGTGTCAAAGGTGTTCAGTATGTCACCAAAGAGTGAGAGCTTTTTCCTGTGTGGGGAGGGGGAGGGGGGAGCTCAGCAAGAATTTGACACAAGAAAGACTCAATCAGACCATGTTGAATAGCCAGCTCTGTCGGGCAACCATGTCCAGACATATGTCCATGGGACACTGGTACTCAGTGGACAGAGTGTATGTGGCTGTCCCTGCCCTCTTACATTCCAACTCATGTAGACTCAGCGCAGCCAGATTTTCTCAGTGGGGACATAGGAGCAGAACCCGGAGGCCGCTGTGGAGTGTGAATGAAGGGCCAGGGCCAGTCCTTCCCCCTCTTTGTCTCTTTGTTCTCAGCCTGCTGGGCCAGTCTGTGCCCAGCATAACTGCCTCCACCCTTCCTGCTGTCTGCATTTGGGTGCCATAGACTCCTGGTCTCCAGGACCCTCACTGGGAGCCCGCTGTGGGTTCTTCCTGACATGGCAGGTATTACCTCAACCAGCAAGCAGTCTTGGTAGAGAAAGTGTGCTCTGTGGGAATTCACCGTCCACCCTGGGAGTGCCTTCCATGTACCTCCTCCACTGCCCTGCACAGCTGACCATGGTCTGTCATTAAAAAGGTTCCTCGATGTAATGTGTTTTGAACTGCTTACCATGTGCTAGATCCCAACCTAAGCATACCATCTAATCCTCTTCAGTCTTTTGAATAGATTCTCCTGTTATACCCATTTCAATGATGGGGCTATTAAAGCTCAGATTGGTTATACAACTTGACTATGGACTTACATACAGTGGGTATTTAGAACTTTTTTTTTTTTTTAGTTGTCAATGGATCTTTTTTATTTATTTATTTGGTGCTGAAGATCAAATCCAGGGTTTCACACATGCCAGGCAAGTGCTCCACCATTGAGCCACAACTCTAGCCCTGATATTTAGGACTATTAATGCAACAAATAGAAGATGTTTCTTTTTTCTTTTTCTTTTCTTTTTATCTATCTTTCTTTTTTTTTTTGGTGCTTGGTGCTGAGGATTGAGCCCAGGGCCTGGTGAATGCTAGGCAGACAGTGTACCATTGAGCTGTGTGTCCCCAGACCAAGTTTCATCTTCTGAGCAGAGCCCAGTGTCTGGGCTCTCCCACCAGCCCTGTACCCACTCCATTAGCATAACCTGGCTGCAAGACGAACCTCCCTGGGTGGCTTTTGCCAGATACCGTCTGTCCATCTCAGGAAGTTAGGGAATAGCTGGTAGTTGCCACCTGTGTAGGCGTCCCAGCTACCCCATTCACCTGCTTGTGTGTCCGATATTGAGATCACATAAACCTGCCAAGCCTCGCTTTCCTTATCTGCAAAATGTTTCAGTTATGAGGAGAAAGGAGATATGAACTTGAGTACTTATTGTAGTGCTGGCTCAGGGAAAGACCCAGTGACTGTGGACATCACTGCCCTGCTTGCCAAGATAGGGTAGTGGCACGGACGACACAGCGGCTGCCTAACCATGCCTTAACAGGTGCCGGTGGCACCTGTGTGCAAAGCCAGAGGACAGAGAACATGAATCATTCACCATGGAAGCCCTGCATTATTAATGTCGTTTTTCTCAGACTTCTAACGGGGCCAGGGCCGGCTCCCATATATGGAAGGCGCGACTCGGCCTCAGCTGCAAGCACCTCCCTGGGTCTCCAGTTGCCATGGAGTCCCGCAGGCGGCCGGGAGGGGAACGCCCGAGGCGGTGTCCTGGGCTCGCTTGCTGCACTGGTCCTGGGTCCGCAGCCTGGCTCCGGGTCGCGCCGGGACCGCGCTTGTCCTGAACTGCTTCTCTGGGACTGAGGACGTGATGGGGGTGGGGAATAAACTGGTGGAGACTGGATGCAGCATCCTCGGGAGGACAGGTTTTGTGTGGTAGGCTTCGGGCTTCGATACGTGGTGCCTTCTAAAGAGGGTCCCAGGGTCTCCGACAGTAGTCCCCAGCTGCTCGCCAAGCCGGGTACCTTGCGCACGCCTTGCGTTCGGCCAAATGGGCGAGCCGCTGAGCTCCGCGCGCAACACCATCCATCGCCACCATCCATCGCCCCCATCGCCAACGCGGAGGCGAGCGATGGGTCTCCAAAGCGAAGAGAGGGGAGGGGGCCCGGCCTTGGAGGGGCGACTCTGGGCGGGTGGGGCGCGGAGCCCTCGGGCGGGGCCCCTCGCGGCGCCGGCCTCCCAGCCTTTCCCGGCCGCCTAGCCTCGGCGGGGCGGGGCGGGGCGCGGGGCGGGCCGGGGAGGAGCGCGGGGAGGAGCCCGGGCTGCGGCGGCCGCGTCAGAGCAGTGCTCCCGCTGCCAAGAGGCTCAGACCCGGCCCGAGCGCTGCCGAGGACGCGGACAGGAACCCGCACCGACACCGATCAGCGCTGCGCCGGAGGCTCCTCTCGCGGGCCAGGGTTGAGCGACCATGGCGGACAAGGAGGCCGGCGGCAGCGACACCGGGCCCCGAGGTGAGCTCAGGGCGCGGGTCCTGCGGCTGCGGCTGGCAGTGTAGGGGAGGGATGAGGCACGCTCTAACCGGCGCCCCACAACCTCCTCGTGGACGATGGAAAAGTGGGTGCCCTGGCCCCAACCTGCCCTCGCGGGAGGGAGAGGCCAGGGTCAGCACCTAGGAGGGAAGAGGGCTCCGGGAACTGGAGGTGGCCCGCGGGTCACGTGCTCTGTTCCGGCTAGGGTGCGGACACTGCGACGAGGACTGCAGCCCCCGCTGGGGCACCCCTTCTGTCCCCGCCTCTGGGTGGCGCCTCCGGCGGGGCCGATTACGAGTTCGGATAAGAACCGCCCTTCTGTCCATCCCTGTGCACCGTGCTGGGGATGCCAGCGCTGGCCCGGTAAATGGCCGGCTGCTGGGTGGTCGGGTATCCCCAGAGGGTCATTTCCGTGACTCAGCGAGGCGAGGGTGGGATCCTAGGGGAGGTCGGAGATTCGGACCTGTCCCCTTACTCCACCCTGCGCGGCGGGACCCACGCGCCTGGAGCGGGAGCAGTAGCTCCCGCCTTAGGTTATCCCATCCCCTCCCCACCCATCTCCAAGGATTCCCTGGGCTTGGAAAGGGCGAAGCGGCAGGGGCTTGACAGTCCCCTCCTCGCCAGAGGTAGGGTGGGGACAGTGCGGAGGAAGGACGTTTGTATTTTGCCAAGGTGCCAGGGCCGCTCTCTTTGGGGAGTGATTCGGGCACAGATGGAAGGAGGGAGAGCCAGAGAGAACCGGAGAAAGAGGCCGGAGGAAGTGGAGGAGCAGCTCTTTGAGCCCAGGGCAGTAAATCAACCTTCGCCCGCGGTGGGAACGGGCTGGCCAGGATTCCGGTCTTCCTGTGAGTCCCAAGTGGGGAAAGTTGGGCGCCAGAGACGCTGGGCGTCCCTGACCTGCAGGGCCTTGGCGGGAGCAATCGCCCAAAAGGAGCGCGGCCCAGCGGCTTTCCCTGGAGCTCCAGGCAAGCCGTCTTGGGAGGACGAAATTAAAATGCCCGGACGTAAGGGAAATCCAGCCAGGAAAGGCTCGCCCAGCTTTGCCTGGACCCCAAAGTCAGGGAAACTGAGGCCAGCAAGAGCACCAATAGTACACCCACCATTGAAATTGCGCTCTCGGTCGGTGGCCGTGGCCCCCGCCCTCTACTGCACTCGGAGATGCACCTACCCCCTCCCCAGCCCATTGTTCCTGCGGATCTGGGAGGTGCCTCCCCACACGCACTGCAGTGATGGGGGAGTGCGGGTGGGGGCTGGGGGATCCTGACTTGACTCACTCCTGGGAGGGAGGTGCAGAGCCCAGGCAGTGACCAAACACCAAGCACCCAGAATCTGTCCCTCTCCCTCGACCTTCCTCAGCGGTCAGGCTCCGGCAAGGGTCTGACAGCTGTCTTTGTCTGAACACCCCTCAGCAGCTGGATGGGCTCATTTTTCCTCCACCTCTTTTTCTTTAAATTGGAAAACAAAATTTAGGATGATCCTAAGGGGTGTCAGAATTGCTAAAGCTTGAGAGTTAGTGAGCTAGTTTCTTGTCTCTCAGGCTGAGATAAAGTGTGGGTGGTTGAATCAAACAAGGTTGGGCATAGGATTTGTCAAATCAGAATTGCAAGCACAGTTGTGCACCCACTTCTCGATACCGTTTTGTCTTATAGAATCATTCAGCACTCCTACTCTAGACACACACACACACACACACACACACACACACACAACTGGTAGACATCCCCACCCAGGACAGGGAAACAGAGGTGTGCTGGGTCACCTGCCACCACTCACCGGATTCCGTTAGAACGTTTCTTTGCTTCTAGTGAATTCAGGTGCACGGGTTTAGGACACAGCAACTGGAAGAGCAGGCTTACCCTAGCAGCTCACTGTGCTTCTCCAGGGTGCCATCTCTTTATCTGCAAAATGGGAGATATTAATAGTATCTCATAGGAGCAGAGTCTGTCCCCTTCCACATCTATTTTTAAGGTTTCCTCATTTCATGTTGTGTGCTGGGCAATGAACATACATTATTTTATTTTTTAAAGCCTCTTAACTCCTGTTACCAGCATTTTCTTTACTGGTGGGATATTTAAACAAAGATTTAATGACCTGTCTGAGGTCCCACATCTAGAAGTGTTGATTGGGATGCAGACTATCTGATTCCAGGGCTGGATATGGTCAGTGCTTGCCATCCTATCTGGTACGTGAAGTGGTTGTGTTTCAGGTTATTTCAAGGATGCTACTGGTACAAAAGAATGAATCCCACAGGCATCAAACTATGTTGGGACTCTTGTACAGTGGGACCCCTGGTTGTGGAGGTGCTGGAAATGCTGGGGTGGGGAGCAAGTGCCCATGAAACAAAAATGGCAGTATGTTGGTAGTTGTTGAAGCTGGGTACTGAGTAGATGATGGTTCCTTACTATTCATTTTGACATGTTTGCAAATTTCCTTAATAGCATATTTAAATTAGTTAGTTAATTTTCAAACTCGGAAGGATAGCCTTTAGTCTCTGGAGTGTACACAGTGGAAGCTGAAGTGATCCTCAGTCCCACGTCTTCTTCATGTCCTGAGATGTTGGCACATGGAGTCCCAGAAGAACAAGATGAATTGAGTGGGGAAAGTGGCACAGAGTGGATAGCTCCTCTGGTGATGGACTTAGGGCAGGCTGGAACAGTGGACAGCCATTCATTTTCTCTGGGAATGGGGGTTGAGGAAACCAGTGGCGGGAAGGCAGGTTCCCGGGGTCAGGGTGTGTCTTGAGGTGTTTTATTAGGCTTCACTGGTGGGTTTCTGTTTCTTACCAACTTGGCGTTCAGTGAAAATAGACATTTTGGTCATTGACATATATCAAGGATTCTGTGTATGCTAAAACCTGGGAATACTTAGTTGTCTCATTTAGCCTTGACCACACTTGTTGAATGAATGACTCTCTGGGCAGGGGAGAGGGGGTCTGAGGAGAATGCTGACAGATTTAGGGATGCACAGTTGGAAAGGGGCTGGGGAAGAGTAGGGACTGGCCTTGGGCCCGGGTGGTCAAGCCAGCAGCTTCTCCTAGCACATGCATGGCACATCATAGGCCCTCAGGAAATTGTGATGAGTGTCTAATTAAGTGAGCCCGTGACTAATACAAAGTATGGCTGCCAAACTACAGGTGGAAGTGGAAAGGTGTTGTCTATGGCCCCCAAAGGAACCAAGAGAAGGTCAAGGTGATGCTCTGTTTTAGGGTTCTGGGGATGTGATCCATTTCTGTGCCTGCACCTGCCTCTGTAGCTATGTCCCCTGTACATGCCCTTCCCATACAGAGTCTTGTGTTTCCCAGAGCCCTAGGATCTCCCTTGGCCCAGACCCCTATGATCTCCTTTGACCCTCAGTGCATACAGTTCACCCTGTCGGGGACATCTCTCTTTGTCAATCAAACTCCTATTCATCCTTCAGATCTCAGATCAGGTAATCACTTCTCAGGAAGTCTTACTGGATCCATGTGTCCAGGTGAACTCTACCTGTGTAGTCCCAAAGCCTTTGGTACTTAGCCATTGGTGATGCCCTGGTGTTCATCATGTGTCTGTGATGTGCCCTTTTTTGCATGTCTCCCATTGACTTTTCCACCAACCCTGTGAGGCTGGTATCATCATTACCCCATTTTGCCACTGGGACAATTGAGGACTTAGAGAAATGTTGTGACTTGCCCAGACAGTAAATGCTGGAGTCAGGATACAAGTCAGTCATGGACCCCAAAAGCTTATTTCCCTCAGTGCCTTTTCTCTTGACAAGGTCATGGAATGTGTCTTTCATTTCCATATTCTTAGTGAGGGCACATAGTAGGTACTCAATCGATGTCTTACTGTGTTGAATGACTGTCAGTCAGCAAGAGGAGAAAACACAGCAGTAGGCAATGGCATCTACATCCTGCCCCCTCCACAGTGGCACTTCTAGAAACTTGGATGCGCAGAAGTGGGCCAGGCTGGAGGGGGGAGGGGGGACTCTGAAGAGATGTGGCTTTGATTCCAACAAGGCTTTGAGTGACGACTCAATCTTGTGGGGGCGAAATGCTCTCTTGTCTTATAAATAGGCCTCTTTGGTAAGGGAGAGAGCTCTTTTATTATTGCTGTGCATAATTAGAGTGGCAGAGGAATCAGGGGCTTTTAATGAATGAGTAGCATGTGGCTGGGAGGGAGCCCCTGCCCCCTGTGGGCACATAGGCCTGGGCTGGGGCTGGATGTCCCAGGAGAGAACAGGGTAGGCCCAGGAGATACCCAGAGAGGAGGAGGCAGAACTCAGCAAGGAAACCGGCCCACAAAGGCCAGGCCTGCAGACCCTTGCTACATTCTTGGTATTGAGGATGACTCTGTCCTGTTCTGCCAGATGTTCTGTCACACGTATGGCGGGTAGAGAACCAGAGTGGCCTAGAGTGCCAAAACTCCAGCTAGACTTTCATTTCCTAGCCTGTGAATGGGGTGCACGAAACCTGCCCAGGTCTGTCCTGCCCAGCCAAGACAATAGATGAGAGGAAATGGCTTTGCCATCATCAGCCTGCCCATAGGAGGAAGTGAGAGTGGCCTCCTTGCCTCTGCTTCTGTGCCCACAGGACTGCTGTTCATTTGCACGGCTTGGTGGTGGGTCAAGCTGGTCTGCTTGCTGGGAGGCTTTAGGAGAAGGGCAGATTGTGCTCTGAGTTTTCTCAGACTTGGGGCTACATGGGGACATGTTCAGATCCCAATTCCTTTAGACCTACAGTATTTCACTCTCTGAAGCAAACCCCTTGGAATTGGTTTAAGTATCCCCGGGCATGCCTCCCACACCTGCAGATCCCACAGTGGGGCAGAGGGTGGTGGAGTGATGGCAGCTCAACGGCCACTTAGGGGGCTGGGGGCATGCATGTTGGAGCTGTTCTCTTTGGCCAGAGGATGTCCCTTGCTGGGTTCAGTTACCTGAGTGGGTCTCCTTTTGGGATCACCTGGAGAACTTCTACAAAGTCCTGATGCCCTGACTGTGATCCAGTG